ACTTTTTACATTCCAAATTCCAGACGACAAGTATTACATTACTAAAACACCTTCCTCTTTGCTGTGTTCCACATCAGTTTAGCAACATACCAACAAAACAGAACAAACTGAATTTTTGAAACAGAAATTAAAAGATAGTTTTACTGATAAACTTTGCTAAATGATTCTGTTGCAATATAAGGCATGTTTTGGACATGCATATGTTTTTWTTTTGTAGAAAGCCCAACATAAATTAATAAGCTTAATATTGTTATTTCACGTTTTCTGCAATCCRCACACCTTCATCAGAGGAACTGTCTCATTGCTGCTCTGCTTCCACCTTTGTCCAGCCCGTTTCCACCTTTCAGACATTCTTTCCACTCTGGAGCGGATGAACCTAATCACCGGGCTGCTGCTGTTGTTGCTGATCACCTCGTACAGCGGCCTCAAAGTGTCACGTATGTCAGCCTGTGAATTATAGGTCATGGGGGGTGTTTTTATTAAACTTGCAGGTTATAATTTGGTGAATGGATGCAGCCAGTTCCRATGTTATCAGTCAATTAAATGGAYGTTATTAGKGGTTATCAYTCCCATRGAATGGCTTCAGACTGTCCTGACAGTGCCCCCTAGTGGGTTACCAGTGCCATAKACGTATGTTGGAATGCAACAATCTGCTACCGCCGGAGTCCGGTCTACTTTATCGTAGCCCATGTCATTTTCTCTAAAATTAACTTTAGYGGCTTTATGCCTCATACTAAACAGCTGACAGTTTGAAGGCCATTCTCTGGGACGGAGAACCCACTAGGCGGCTCAGTCAAGACAGTCTGAAGCCATTCTATGGGACTGATAATGGCTAATAACGTCCATTTAATGGATGATAACATCTGAAGCGGGTGATGGATGATGGTAGGAGGATACCTTATGTGGATGTGAAAGAGGTTTTTGATGCCATGGCAGAGAGGAGTAGTTCCTTCCAACCTGAGGGGGACAAAAATCCTCAATTTGGCTGAGGTACGTCAGTATGGAGCACGTGGACCCATCCACGCCATAAAATGCATAGCAGGGGTCCGACTGCCAGAGTGTCTGCAGAAACTACATGGAAACCAAAATAAGAACAGTTTGATCAGCTGCTGTTGGCAGTATTTCAAAATGTCATTTTATGCTTTGTGTATATGTTTTCTCACCTTGACCTTCTCAGCACACACTGGATATGCAGGGTCTTTYGGTACTTCACACTTCTCTCCAGGCCCTGCAGGGAAGGCACTCTAAATACATCATTACCATCCGAGCAGAACGTTGGACAGTAGTTTTGATATGAAACACACACACAGTGAGCAGCAGCCGTCAGAGTAAAGTGCAGCGTTTCCATGCCTGTGACTGGCATCGGAGTGGAGGCGATGTGTTCTCAGAGGCCCATTCCCGTAAGCTCGCCACCAACCGAGGCCAACATCAATCAAGTGGAAGCAGACACGTGTGCACACACATTTACAATACTAACCTTGGCCAAAACACACAGTCTCTAACAACCTACTTTTTAAAAAAAAAAGATAAGAAAACTTGTAGAAACAGAGCAGAAATTGTGATGTGCTGTAGGAGCAGAACAACAAGGAGAACCACYACCACCGCCACCTTGGAAAAACAAGCGCATGCGTTGGTGAAAGGGGTAATTCAGCTGTATTTTATAGCCGTGAGGTCATGTGAGAAGAGGAGCCAAGAGACTGGTGGCATGGAAGTGTGTGTCTGTGTGTGTGCGGGTGGTATGTGTGTCATGTTCTGTACTGTTTACACACCTCCACACGTTTATGCAGGTGATGGCATGCATGGTCCAAACTTTTATGGATTTAAAAAGAAAAATTTAACATGTATAAATTAACACACACACACACACACACACACACACTTCGTGTGCGTAACCCGATTCTCACCTGACACCTTGAGAAGGAGAGATGTCAACTTTGCTTTCCTCCTGGTTGTTTGGCACTGGCTCCATGGGGCTTGTTAAATATCTATCCATGGATTTCACCCCAATCACCCCCCACCACCACCCATTCACTGCCTTAACCCCTCAACATTCATACCCTCTAAAATAACAGCTTGTTAACTTCACTGTGTAGTTAACCCCTACTACAGCCATGAACCATGCATTTGGCCTTCCAGTAGCAAACTACTGTTTCAGATCGACAGGTTAGAAACAAGTCGCTCACTGAAGATGAAAAACTGGTGTGAAATTATTTGATGAAGCCTAAAATGAAGAAACATAACATAATTAATGCGGAACAAATGGATATTTCCCTCAGCCTTTCATGCCAGAGCTTTAGAGCAAAATCATTTTCTGTTTGGAAGTAATGGTATGATTAGGGCTTGAAGCTTGTGTTGAGAATGGCTCATACCTATGACCACACCAAATTTTAGCTCAAAAGCTGTCAAACTGATGTGGTCAAGTGACTTCAAAAAGCCTGAGCAAAGGTTGAAAGTCAATCACGTGTACAGGTGCATCTCAAAAACTTGGAATATTGTCAAAAAGTTTAATTTACCAAAGCCTGAAAATGTAATATTCTAATTATCTGAGAGACTGATTTTTTCTCATTTTTTTGTTAGCAATAATCATAAAAATTATAAAACAATAAAGGCTTGATATATTTCACTCTATATACGAGTTTGACTGTCTGGACTTAAAAAAACTTGGAACTTTTCCACTATATATACAGTATATTGATGTGACTGTAAACGTGAATTTGATTATTTCTTTCTGAAAGATTCATTCAAATATATCCAGTGTTTCACAAGACATTTGGCTTACAGACACAGAGGCAAAAATATCTTCAGGGGAAAGTATAAGATTTGACAATACTCAAAGAACCTGAGCATTAAATAACCTGTGGGATTTTAATGTAACAGTTGCATATTTCTTTTCTTTTTTCATCTTCAAAAATCTTCAAACCTTGATGTGGTCTATCATCATTGTGTGGGGTATCAGCTTGATGATGATGATGATGATGGTGGCTGAGCTGATCGAGCTTCTGAGACACTTTCTGCAGCTCCTGCTCAACCAGGTGAGCCAAACCCTGCTGATCCTGCCTGAATCTGGAAAAACAACCACACATCTTAACAAAACACTAACACACCAACGTGTTAGCAAGTATTTTATGTCCAAATACATAGAATTACATGGTACTACAGTAATCACTGAGTACCTGTGTAGTAGTAAACTGAGATCTTTTCTGTTCAGATGGACATCATCTCTTTCGCTGCTCAGCCTCTGCACCTGAGTACTCAAAGCCTCCAAACGGACTGCCAACCTGTGGAGGCGATGACTCTGCTGACCTATGAGAAGAAGAAAAAAAATACAAAACTTGTATAAAACTTTTATCTGTACAAGTTGTATTAGTTGCGTTTGAAGTACAGCAGTATTTGCTGCTGCCCAGGTCAGCACATCGCTGAGTCACCCTTCTGTCTGCCAAACATAACAGAGAACAACTTATGAGGCAGCAGATTTAAGATGTTTTTGGCAGAAACGTGAAGRAGAGATGATTGTCAGAGTAATGGAAATGTTAGATGAGGAAGTTACATTTAGCTGTTTTTACTCGAGTTGCTGGGAGAGATGATATACAGAGATGATCTCTCAGGGAAATTAATCTAGTGACGCACAGTTCAAGAGAGCATTGATGTCATTTCACCTCTGTTTGCTGAGCTGACTGTAAACTTATCACTATTTTCTGTGTGCACTTTGAGCACAGTGGGATTTTTTTTTAATTGACCATGACTCAGTCAGTTTTACAAATACTGAGCTAAAATTTGTTCTGGTCTGAGCTGAGAATGTCCCCGACACATACCAGAATGCTATGTGAAACATCTTTGTTTAAAATTGCACCATTATCCTTTTTTTTTTATTTTGCCTATCTGTTAGTAAAATATATCATTACTCACTGGATAGATTTTAATAAAAAAGAATAAAAAGAAAATAATTATCAGCTGTATAGTAACAGCTAATTACATTTTGGAGCTAAGTCAATTTAAGATGGTTGCCACAACTCAACTTGAAAAACATAAATGGTCAGAATTCAGTCCCTTTTGCTGATATTGAGCTAAAATTTGGTGTAGTTACAGCAGAGGTGGGACATTGTTTTGCAAGTAAGTCTAAAATCTTTATCTTCAAGTCCAGAGTCAAGTCCAAAGTCAAGACAGGCAACTGTCATGTTGTCAAGTCCCAAGTCTGAAACTTGGAATTTCAAGTCATTTTGACTCTTTTCTTAAAAACAATGTTGCAGTTATATATTAAGTGTAAATAGTAGACTGTATGTATCTCAAATCGTGAAGAAACGTGAGCAGCTAAACTCACAAAGTATTTTAAAKAATGCCTTTAAATTTGCACCCTTTATTTTGCACAGTTCAAATAAACGTAGCAGCARAAACTGTCTTCCTATAATTTTCCATTTTATTTTAATCTGGTTCATTTGATTTGCTGTGCTGCAGCTCACGCACACATATGTACAGAGTGTGAAAAGAAAAGATAAATGTTCTGCCTTCGTTAATACGGTATTAATGAAAATGATTACAGGGGCAAACTTTACAAAAAAAATGTGTTTTAAACTTTAGATTTTTGGGTAATTATTGAAATTCTATGAGTTGGTTGATTACAACATTTTGCAGATTATTTATAAGGCTCATAAAAATATATTACCTTTGAACATCCAATCGAATTTTGTTAAAAGACAAAGTTACTACAATCTAAAAGGGACAGAGGTGTTTGTGAAACCTAAATTTTGAACTAGTTTGAAGGAACGTTGTACTTCAGTGCAAGGGAAAAATTGTGGAATAATCTGGAATATGATATTAAAAGTGCAGGGTCTTTGTATTAGTTTAGGAGAATGGTAAAATCCAGTCTGTTGAAGAAATATGAAATGACATAATATGTATCCTTAAAAATTGTCTGAGAAAGATTTTAGTTTTTTTTTTTTGTTTTTTATTATTGTTTGAATTTCTTTTGATGTAAAAAGGCGCAAATATTATAAGATTTTTATTTCCTTCTGACGCCTTTCATTTTATTTTTCATTTGCTTTTTTGTGTTCTGAATTTGCTTTGTTTTTTAAATGAAACGAATGAATAAACTAAACTAAACTAAAATATCAACAGGGTCAAGTCCAATTTAAGTCCAAAGTCGGTGGTGTAAAAGTCCAAGTCAAGTCACAAGTCTGAACATTTTTTCAATTCAAGTTTAAAGTCGTATTTTAATGATTTCTTGTCTGACTTGAGTCCAAGTCATGTGTTTCGAGTCCCCACCTCTGGGTTACAGCTGAGAGTCGTTATCAACAAACACTTTAAGTACTACTCATTGTGCAAGAACTTTATTATTAATTGTTGAAGTTGAMTTGTTTTGTTTGTTAGAATTTATTGGAACTATCTGAAACCAGTCATCATATTGATGTTTGGAATTTTTCCAGTCCAACATGACTGCCACAGCCTGCAGTTCAACTCTGTCTTCTAAATATTTAACTAATATTTAATGTGAAAGTGGCTGAAAGTCATCTCCAGCACGTTTGATTTATTTTTTATAGCTGACTACAATTTACAACTCACTGGCTATTTTCAAACAAAAAACATATCTTAATGTAAACCTGTGACATGCATTCCTTCAAGGAATCCTTGGACTTTAATTCCATTTTAAATCATTTAACAATTTGTTCACATACACACATTGAACTCTATTTGGCAAAAATAAAAAAAAGTTCAGATGATTTAACTGTGGGTGCCCAGAAACAGCTTCCTGCATGTGGTTTATAAAACGTTCCAACTGAGCTGTTGCTGGGTGGCTCTCTGTACACAACTTGTGGTGGGTCCCTGGATGCACGAAGCAATTGTGGTTGAGATGCATCAGAGGGTCACGTTGCTAAAAACTATTTTCTTGGAAAATGAGTGGAAAATTGGGGTTAGGATGTTATGAATCCAACTGTCATTTAGCATGGTGACATTGTGAGTCATTAGTAACCACACTGTTGCAGACTCTCACACAAACTACGAGTTCACTTTATTTTAGGTTAAACCTGTGCATCTGATTATTTATCCTTCCAAGATGGCTATTAARCTCCTTGCCCATGGTGTACAGACTTAAAGAAAATTAACTCAGAAATTAATGATTGTGTCAGATTATTTGAYATAATTTTGGTTTGGGGAGGAAAAATATCCAATTACTAAATCTGGAGTTCTTATTCAAATGTTATGTAGAGACCTCCTGAGAGACAAACACCAAAATATGTTACTTAAAAACTGCTGACTCTTGTCTCTTACATATAAAACAGGTGGGGGGGCTTTACACAAACAACCTTACTGCTGTTCCTCAAAAAGTCCTCCTTTGGTGTAAGAGTTTATCCAGACAAAAGGACTTTGGTTTAACTCAGCCACAAACCCACGACTGTCAACCCAATGAAGATGGATGAGGATGAAGACCCACCATGAACTGTGTACAGATCTTCATTTAACACTTGGGCGTTCATGTCTTCATCCATAAACACTCTGCTGTGCTGTTCCATGTGTTGCGAAGTATGTTTTGATTTATGTAAAAATAAAAACTGTAAGAAGTTTTATCATTTTTTAGGATCGTTTCTGGTATAAACACCTATCTTGTCAGGTCCAGTAGTGCTTTTGGGGACCAAAGAGTGGTTGAATACCATGGGGTGTAAGGGTTTARGTTTAGTGCCTAAGATAATATGCCTGTATATACATTTTTTATTTGTTAACCGTTACTTAACCAGGTAAATACCATTGAGATCACAAATCTCTTTTGCATTGGAGGCCTGAAGGCAACCTAACATGCATGGTTTTTGTCCAAGCATGCACGAGGAGAACTTGCAAACTACAGACAGAAAGACCCCTGAGAAAAGAGGGATCGAGCACAGGATCTTGTGTGGCATCAGTGCTAATCACTGAGCCACAGTGCTGCCAATATTAGTTGAGGGTAGGTTAGGGTTAGGGTTAGTTATGTACTGGGTCAGGGTTGGGCTACAGAAATTACTGAAAACGAGTGGAAGTCAATATAGTGTCCTAATAGAGATATGAATACAAACCTTTAGGGGAAATGTCTGGGTTAGGCATAAATACAGTTACAAAATCAATGGAAGTCAATACAAAGTCCTCAGTTTTATCCTGTGTGTGTGTGTGTGTGTGTGTGTGTGTGTGTGTGTGTGTGTGTGTGTGTGTGTTACTCTGTTCCTCAGGTGATCTCCCAGCAGTCTTGTCATGGGTTGGTTCAGTAGGTACCCAGAGGCTCTGCAGCAGCAGGGTGACCAGAGACAGGCCCAGGCAGAGCAGCAGGCAGCCACTAGAGGGTGCAAGACAAATAAAAACCCTGTTCACATGCTTGGCTTCTGTTACAAAACATGTTCTCTGTGTGTTTTTTTTTATTCAGATTTGGATGATTGTTTATTTTATTCTCTGATTGTATGAATAATTTACACTACATTTCTGGAAACAGTTTTGTAGTGGGCATGCTATGGCTGTTTTCCTGTTCTTCAGCGGGTCTTCAAGTTCTGCAAAGGCCTGTCACTCTTTTAATCAAATCAGGCGTGTCATAATAGAGAACATGCCCCCTACTGAGCAGGTCATGTGGTCATGGCGTGTTCACTCTGTCAGGTTCCCAGTAATTGGCTGAGAGCCTATAGTGCTGTGATTTTTGTAATAATTCTGCAACACTACAGCTCCTAATGCTCAGTCTTTTCATCAACTTTGGCGTCCAAGACTGAGAATCGTAAAAGACCCCTGTTATTTGTTATTTGCTATTTGGCATATAGTTCACATCTTTTTGATGTAGAGTCTTGTGGACAGTAAATATTACAACAACATCTCATGTCTTTGGTTGAGAGCTTGTGCAGATGTAATATGATAACTGTAGGAAGCAGTRGCCCACAGTTAGTTGCTTGTGATGGTACAGGTCAAACAGACAGCTGTGAAGATGTAAAGACAGTTTAAGTCAAGGAAAACATGACAGTGGTCTTTCTGACCATAGCCTATTGAGGGCAAGGCTCACCTGCGATGCCGCAGCGCAACACGCATTGTTCTCCTGACAGCATTCAAGAGCCCGCTGTCGAAACAAGAACATTCAAATTATCAGTAAATTCAGCATGTTAAATAATAATCGMAATATGGAAAGAGCATTCACATTGCATTATTTTTCCCATTTCCTTTTTGGAGTTTAATCCTCAGACATTTTAAGCCTGGGAGTTTTTCTGTGTTTGTGGTTGAACACATCGATCAGAATGAAACTAAAGTGCTGTCAGCAGCCTGCTCTTTGTTAATGTGACACGCTAACAGAAATATCCCAACAGCTTTTTGGTCAAAACAAGCCGCCGACAGACAGGCAAACACACACAAACACACRCACATTTCCTCACCTCCTTAGGTTTTGTCACTACCCACTGGTAATCCTGTTTGTACAAAACCCACAAATGTTTTTTTTAAAAAAAGCTCTGTAACAAAGTTAGGCCTGGGAAATCTGTTGCCTCCTTTTCTTTCTTTTTTTTTTTTAGTTAAATCTTCTTTAACTCTTTTTTCCCCCCTCCTTCTCTCGCCCTGCCCTTTTTCTATATATCTCTGAGCCTATGAGAAGGCATCGTCTGGTTGTCACAGTAACCTGACTCCCCTTCGGAGAAGACAATACGTGGAGAGTACTTAGGTTTTCACAAATACAATGGAGCCCRCGCTACTGTGTGACAGCTTCTTTCAGTCTCAGTGGAGAGATTAGGTCTTCGTTCTGAAGCAGGGCACTCATTTAAATAGTTTAAACGGTAGAAATGTTTTTCATTTAATTAAAATAAAAAGGAACAATGACAAAAAAAAWTTATAATAAGTAAATAAATTACGGTAGTAGGGGTAAAAGTTTAAGTATTTGATCCTAAATTAGAATACAATTAAAAATTCTTTATTTTTACTTGGCTACTTCTATTTATTCTCTTAAACATGCATTTATTATCACCCGCCACAAGAAAGTGAAAAGCATCAAAAATATGTTTTTGTGTCTGTCTGTTAGCAAAACGTCTCATGAACCACTGAACAGATTTGATCCAAACTCTCAGTAAAAAAATCTTTAGATGTATATCATCAACTGATCAACTTTTGTCAAACTAAAATGAACTCCACAGCTCAATAACCTTAGAAAAGACAAAAATGGCTGTAATTCAGTCAGTTTTACAAAATCTGAGCTATAATTTAATTTAGTAAATGTTTCCAAAAAATAAAAATAAAAATAAAGTACTAAACTAGGTTTAAAACTCCAACTTCAGATCTCTAACTTGTTATAAAAAATAGTCTRTGTGTTGATGTTAATGTGCATTTCATGCTAATGTGGTGCAATAAAAAACATTTTTGTCTTTACAAAGTCTCAGCTGATAAATGGGGCATAATTCAAAGCACATGGAGTTTCACAGAAGGGTGTTTGTCATCATGTTTTTCTTTCAAAACTGTAATCATGAAGGCTCCAAACCATTTATGTAGTTCTACCATCTGGAACCAAAGCAGATCAGATCATGCATGCACTTGGAAAATAATTCATTTTCTCAGTTGTGGTATATTAAATAAATGTACTGCAGACACACAAAACATTCTAAATAATTATGAAAGTGAACATAATTAGCTGTATTTTCTTTCATGTTGTATGAGGTGCAAAAGTCCAGTCAGTWTAGACAAATACAATTAGAGCAACAATAAGTAATATTTTAAAGTGATTATAATGTGATATTTTTGTAATATTTGGTTCTCGTCTCACAAATGTTCCATAATCATTTCATAAATGTAAAGACAGGTCAAAAAGGTCAGGATTACTCTTGTGACATAAAAACTTCAAAGACACAACAAGGTAAACATATATTGTATTTTAAACCACTTTCCATCCGTTTCGTCCGTCTGTTTTCTTCCTTTCATCCGGGATCGGGTCGCAGGGGCAGCAGCCTAAGCAGAGAGACCCAGACTTCCCTCTCCCCGTCACTTGGGCCAGCTCATCCGGGGGAATCCCAAGGTGTTCCCAGGCCAGCTGAGAAACATAGTCCCTCCAGCGTGTCCTGGGCCTTCCTCTGGGTCACCTCCCACTGGGACATGCCTGGAACACCTCACCAGGGAGGTGTCCTGGAGACATCCTAACCAGATACCCGAGCCACCTCAACTGGCTCTTCTCGACATGGAGGAGCAGCGGCTCTACTCTGAGTCCCTCCCGGATGACTGAGCTTCTCACCCTATCTCTAAGGGAGAGTCCAGACACCCTGCGAAGGAAACTCATTTCGGCCACTTCTATCCGTGATCTTGTTCTTTCGGTCATGACCCAAAGCTTGTGATGAGAGTCGGAACGACCGACCGGTAAACCGACAGCTTTGCCTTCTGGCACAACTCTCGCTTCACCATGATAGACTGGCACAGCGCCCGCATCACTGCAGACACAGCACCAATCCGCTTGTCAATCTCCCCCTCCATTCTTCCCTCATTCGTGAACAAGACCCCGAGATACTTAAACTCCTCCACTTGGGGCAAGACCAAGTCCCCRACCCGGAGAAGGCACCCTTCTGGTTTCCAGCTCAAGACCATGGTCTCAGATTTGGAGGCACTGATCCTCATCCCGGCCACTTCACACTCAGCTGTGAAACCGCTCCATTGAGAGCTGGAGATCATGATCTGATGAAGCCAATAGGACCACATCATCCGCAAAAAGCAGAGATGTGATCCTAAGGTCACCAAAAAGGATGCCCTCAACATCTCGGCTGTGCCTTGAAATTCTGTCCATAAAAGTTATGAACAGAATCTGTGACAAATGGCAACCTTGGCGAAGTCCAAGTCTCACTGGAAACAAGTCCAACTTACTACCGTTAATGCAGCAAGCTCTGGCACCGGTCATACAGGGACCTAACTACCCCGTTCTCCCAGAGTATTCCCCACAGGGGTCCCTGAGGGACACGGTCAGGCACCTTCTCCAAGTCCACAAAACACAGACTGGTTGAGCGAACTCCCATGCCCCTTTCCGGACCCTGCTCCGCTGTTCCACGACCAGGACGAAAACCTGGTTTTGCAAACAATTTAACTATAAAATGAACATAATTCAAGGGACTTTCATCTTCTTATTCTACTACTTTTAGCAAGCATTTTGCTACTATTAGCCACTATTCTGCTGCTCTTAGTTTTTTGATCCTTTTAGCTTTTAGCTATATTTCTGCTGCTGTTAGCCTTTTTCTACTTTTATCTTCTAAATACCCTTTTGATAATTTTAGCTATTAACTTGCTTTTTGATATTTCTAACACTGAGTTAACATTTTGTTACTTTTAGCTAGCGTTTTGTTGCTTTTGGCTTTAATAGCATTTTGCCTTGWAGCATTTAGCTTGGGTTTTGCTTCTTATAAGCTTTTTGTTCTGCTTCTTTTAGTTTATATATGAATTATAACTCATTCAAATCTAAGCAAAGTCCAGCCTCAACAATCAYGCTGCATTCTCAGAAGACCTCATTTCTAAGAAACGACTTAGAAATGCTCGCAGAGGGCAAACACAGTATTTTCATGTTTGTTGTTCATGTTTGTGTGCACAATTTGTGTRCATGCAGGCAGGGTGGAGTAGGTGGGGACTGGAAGTGGCTTGTGTTAGACTCGAACAGTTAGAGTGACGTCATGTTAGTGTGAGGGAACAGGAAGACTGGATGAGCCTTGACCTCTGTAAGCTTTGACCCAACAGCTTAATGGCTTTCTATCCATCTGCCACACTCCAGAGGTCACTACTCTGGCTGGCAATCATTTCCTGGAGACTTAACTTAAACCTCATCATGTAGTTGCCTCATGCTAACTCTAACCTACTTTTAAATTGGGCACACTATTTATCCCCATAAGGAAAGTATGTCCAATTTCATCAACACATTCTTACATATTAAAACATTTACATGCGCAGTCCTACAAATGCTTCAAACTGTGCAYAAAATGGCATAGTGTCACAATGTTTGTGCAAATGATGGCATTCTGAGTAGTTTCTGTAACACTGCAGCTCTTTTTTTAAATAGTTTATCAGCAATTACTCTCAGGAACACTTTAAATAAATGTTCAAAAAAATGCATCATGCTGTTCAACATAAGCCAGACCTGTTTAATGGTGATTAGGATGCAAAACTAAAAAAACAGATCAATTACGACAGATGATGAAGCCATGAAAGGGATGAGACGGGAGCCAAACATTTTCTTCTGCAAAGCCATTTTGATTCCTCAATTTAATTATCAGTAACAAGTGTCATGTGTTGGTCGGCTGGGTTTTGGTTGTTGCTTTGAGTTCTTTACAAAGGCAGGGTTTGTTGCCTTGCAGAGGGTACTTCCATGTCCTGTTCGAATGTCATTATTTAACAGAACAAGTCTAGACATAAACAACCACATAATGGCTGCTGCACTGCATGGTCAAAGTGCAGATTTACTCACACAAATACCTTTAACTTTAGGAAAGATTAATTTTATTTATATGAAGTGTATTAAGTTCTGAGCGTTTTGTATATAAATCCGGTTTATGAATGAATGAGAGTTTATCTGAATGGCAGAAGTGTCTGTTAATCAGTGGATATATGTGACCAGCCCACCTGAGCTGCTCTCTGCAGCTGGACGCCCACAGGGGGGCGGAGGCACTGCGCATGCTCAAAGCARCAGCGTGAAATCCTTGCTTCGCGTCCTGAGACGTCCAGCATTCAGGTAGGAGTACTGTTCAATCAGTATATTTATTTTTTTGTTAACAAATACAAAATAAAACGTCATCTCTTTCATTCGCTTTATGTAATTTCATATATTTCTGAACGTTAAAAAGCAGATACATTTAGTCTAATATTATGGTGAAAACACGTTAGCCGAAATTCAGCATCGTCGTTTTCGGGTCCGTCTAAATCGACATTGTTTCTTGCCCCTTGTGCATGCAGCATTTTTTGTTGCATTGTGTGTTTTGCGGCGCTGTTAGCTGCTAATAATGTCCACTGACCGGGAGCAGCGAGCTAACGTTAGCATTGCTAACCTGGCAGAGTGACAGGAAGCGTGTATGAGATTAGCTCAGGCGGCGTTCAAAGCTACTTTCACCTCTGCTAGCTGGCATTTGTGGGTTTATCGATTTTAATAAAAAGCCAACTGAAGCTGCTTGACCTGCGTTTAAAATCGTCAGTCAAATGACGTCACTTAGTCCTATCTTGTCACGTGATTTATTCGAGCCCCCTACCTGTCAGGAACCTCAGAAAGACAGCTGCAATGAAACATTTCATGAATAAATGACAAACTGGTTACACATGCACATTATGGTCCACTGTCTCAAAATTTATGTTTAGGCCTCACTGGAAATGTATTATCATGAATCTTTATTTAATGTAATTGTTTTCCTGTAGCATTGGAACCTGTCTACTTTGATTTTTCACAGTTGTAATTTAATGGGACAAACATTTTTGAGCACCTAACCTAACCCTGGCTTTTTATTGTGTTTAGCTTGGAGTCTATCGTGCTCAAAGATCAAAATTTAGATAAAACTAAACATTATTTTGCTAATCTCTGTATAGAAATGCCTGCGATTTTATGTTTTAGTATTTTATGTGTATGGTTTAGTGTACACCTGCATATGATTTTGTTTAAACGCGGTGTTAAACCCTTCAGGTGATTTTACAACTGTCAGTTTTAGTACAGTGATCTTTGGATGTTCGTCCTCRGGATATATATCTAAATGTTTTTATAGCGAGAAGTATTTAAACAGCAAGTGGAAACTAAAGATTGGTTAAGAGTGTTTTAAATCTGTTTATCTTCGTCTGTCCTGTGGATGAGCTCAGATACAAAATTAAACAGATGAATAATGTGGTTTCTGTTGAACTTGACCATCTGTGGAAAAATGTCAAAGAAATATTTGTGCATTAAAGGTTGTTGATGATTTTGCAGCTGTCCTGCCGCTCAAAGCCACAAATAACCTTGAATGCTTTAATTTCATTGATGTGTTTAATTGTTTACAACGTTCTTTCCCATCTGAATATTGTTACCAAGTGTTAGAAATTGAGTTTTGATTGTGCTGATTTACCTTTTTTTATTAATTTCTTTGTACTTTTGTGTTTTCTAGCAACCACCATGGGCAGTTAAAATAAACACTTCCTGTTTGTTGTGAAGAGGACAGAAGGTTAGAAACATCTTAGTGAACATATCTTCTCCTCTTTGGGCTGACCGATAAGTTCCACCACCATGGCAGAAGAGGACTATGGCACCTTTGTGGACTGGTCTCAGATGGGAGACCTGGCCAAGAGCAGTGGGCCCACCAAGGTAGACTGTAAAGAGCTGAAAGAGTTCAAACAGATGGCCCGCCAAGGTCACTGGGCTAAGAATCACAAGCTACGGGCACAAGTCTACCAGCAGCTCATCAAAGCCATTCCATGTCGCACGGTCACCCCAGATGCAGAGGTTTATCGTGACATTATGGGAGATGCAGCCACAAAGAAGCCCGCCTCTCATGCCCCACTGCCAGAGTTTGTGGATGGAAATCCCGTGCCGCGGTACTGCCTCAAGGCGGAGGCGGTGGCCTCAGTCCATCGCATTATCAGCTGCATTGCCGGACAGTTTCCAGATATCTCCCACTGCCCATCTCTTCCAGCCATCACGTCTTTGCTCCTTCACTTTAGTAAAGACGAGGCTCAGTGTTTTGAGCTCGTTAGCCGCATACTGGCCTGCAACGAGCCAGGCAAGCGACTGGTGGATCAGACTTTCTTGGCCTACGAGTCCAGCTGCATGACCTTCGGTGACCTGGCCAACAAGTACTGCACAACTGCTCACAAACTGATCATTTCAACAGCCCAGGATGTGCTGGAAGTCTACGCCGATTGGCAGCGCTGGGTGCTCGGGGACCTGCCCTTCAGCCATATCGTCCGGGTCCTGGATGTCTATCTAGTTGAGGGCTACAAGGTTCTCTACCGTGTGGCCATAGCCTTGCTCAAGTTCTACCGCAAGCATAAAATGGGAGGCCAGGGCGGACAGGCGAGCCAGCAGCAACAGGATTCGGGCAAAATTAGGTCCGATATTCAGGCGTTCATCAAGGGCATCGGCTCCGCCGTCACACCCGACAAGCTGCTCGAGAAATCTTTCTCCATCCGCCTGATTAACCGTAAGGAAATCACTCTGCTGCAGCTCACGAATGAGAAGTCCCTGCAGCAGAAAGGAATCACTGTCAAGCAGAAGCGGTAAAGTCAATCGCGGTCTCGTGACTTTGTCTCGTGTGCACCTTTTACTGTGAACCTTTGATTTGAACCCTTCTCTTGTGGAACTTGGATGCACTTTTTTAGTCAAGGATATTGCGTAACTCAAGACAAGTACAAACGTACTTTTTGAAACTAGTAGTCAAAAGTTTTTTAACAAGTAATGCATTAATTTGATTCAGCTTAAAATCACAGGAACATGTTTGACCTGATTTTTACAAAGGAGTATGGTCTTCGTGTAAAACGATTTAAATGCAGTTAAAATTAAGATTTATAGGTTTGATTTAAAAACAGAGCAGCTTTTGAACTTTCCAAAACCAATCTCAGAGCTATGCATAAAACAGGATGCATGCAGCATTACACTATCAGTGTAGATTGGTTTATACAATTTAATAAAAGTGTGGATCAGTTAATTTGCTATGAACAGCAATCTTTTTATAATGCCTTTTTATTAAGCCCTTTTTATGTGTATTTCATGAACACTTTTTGGTTGCTTTTGTGTATTCTCATAATCTGTTCTTGTGTTTTCCTGTTTGTCCTGTGCCGCCATTTTTCATTCACCTCCTGTCTCATCTGTGTTCCACTCCTGTGTTTTCTTCACTGGTTCTTTTACAGTTCTAGGTGGGTTCCCCTCTCCTTGATTTGAGTTCAGATCCATTTGTTTACATCTCTTTTTTAATAGGCTGTTGTGTATTTAAAAACAGTAATAAAGCATCTGGTTGGTTAGGGTTATTGCAGTCAAAATACAGAATTTATCTCTATAAAACCAGATTTGTGCATCCCAAATTGTGATCTCCTCTCCCCCGTGTGAGCCTCTTTTTTTCTGAACTTTTCCACCTCCTTTTTGTTTCCTTCTTTCTGGGATTTCTCCAGGCGGAACGTGCAGCTAGCCCTGAACCCCGACACATTCTCCTCCGAGATCGTCGGGGCCAAAGAGATGCACGACATCTGGTCGTGGATTCCTGAGCGCTTTGCTCTGTGCCAACCGCAGCTTCTCTTCACCACCTCCGTCCACGGCTGCAGCCTTAACAGGTGAACTTTTCAGCACCTTCAGTACACTCGTAATGAGCTTCCACCGGCTACATTAAAGGCACATTGTTTTGTTTTACAAAAATACTCAGCAAGACCCACCTTGCTTGACTTGTATAATGTGTAGCTAACATTTCTAGCATATTTATAGGTTGATTGCTTTGTAACAATCTTGGACAGATACAGTGGGGAAAATAAGTATTTAGTCAGTCACCARTTGTGCAAGTTCTCCCACTTAAAAAGATGAGAGAGGCCTGTAATTGACATCATAGGTAGACCTCAACTATGAGAGACAAAATGTGAAAAAAAAATTGAGAAAATCATTTTGTCTGACTTTTAAAGAATTTTTTTGCAAATAATGGTGGAAAATAAGTATTTGGTCACCTACAAACAAGCAAGATTTCTGGCTGTCACAGACCTGTAACTTCTTTTTTAAGAGGCTCCTCTTTCCCCCACTCATTACCTGTATTAATGGCACCTGTTTGAAGTCGTTAACAGTATAAAAGACACCTGCCCACAACCTCAAACAGTCACACTCCAAACTCCACTATGGTGAAGACGAAAGAGCTGTCGGAGGACACCAGAAACCGAATTGTAGACCTGCACCAGGCTGGGAAGACTGAATCTGCAATAGGCAAGCAGCTTGGTGTGAAGAAATCTACTGTGGGAGCGATAATCAGAAAATGGAAGACATACAAGACCACTACTAATCTCCCTCGATCTGGGGCTCCACGCAAGATCTCAGCCCGTGGGGTCAAAATGATCACAAGAACGGTGAGGAAAAATCCCAGAACCACAAGGGGGGATCTAGTGAATGACCTGCAGAAAGCTGGGACCAATGTTACAAAGGCTACCATCAGCAACACACTACGACGCCAGGGACTCAGATCTTGCAGTGCCAGACGTGTCCCCCTGCTTAAGCCAGTCCATATCCAGGCACGTCTGAAGTTTGCTAGAGAGCATTTGGATGTTCCAGAAGAGTATTGGGAGAATGTCATATGGTCAGATGAAACCAAAGTAGAACTATTTGGTAAAAACACAACTCGTCGTGTTTGGAGGAAAGTAATGCGGAGTTGCATCCAAAGAACACCATACCAACTGTGAAGCATGGGGGTGGCAACATCATGCTTTGGGGCTGTTTCTCTGCAAAGGGACCAGGACGACTGGTCCGTGTACATGAAAGAATGAATGGGGCCATGTATTGTGAGATTTTGGGTGCAAACCTCCTTCCATCAGCAAGGGCAATGAAGATGAAACGTGGCTGGGTCTTTCAGCATGACAATGATCCCAAGCACATTGCCAGGGCAACAAAGGAGTGGCTTCGTAAGAAACATTTCAAAGTCCTGGAGTGGCCTAGCCAGTCTCCCGATCTCAACCCCATCGAAAACCTTTGGAGGGAGTTGAAAGTCCGTGTTGCCCGCCGACAGCCCCAAAACATCACTGCTCTAGAGGAGATCTGCATGGAGGAATGGGCCAACATACCAGCAACAGTGTGTGCCAACCTTGTGAAGACTTACAGAAAACGTTTGACCTCTGTCATTGCCAACAAAGGATATACAACAAAGTATTGAGATGAACTTTTGTTATTGACCAAATACTTATTTTCCACCATTATTTGCAAAAAAATTCTTTAAAAGTCAGACAAAATGATTTTCTCAAATTTTTTTCACATTTTGTCTCTCATAGTTGAGGTCTACCTATGATGTCAATTACAGGCCTCTCTCATCTTTTTAAGTGGGAGAACTTGCACAATTGGTGACTGACTAAATACTTATTTTCCCCACTGTATGTCGAAATATTCTTTCAGTTTGTTTGTATTTCTAGCAGTGTTGCCACACTTAATCACAGCAAAAGGCTATATTTAGAATTTTTAAGCATTAATTTGACTTTTCTTCTTTTTCAAACATCCACCTTTTAGTTTGGTTAAAAGTATGGCAAAGAAAAGTTTAGATCTGTTTAATCAACAACACAAACCGTTCACTCTGTCGTAAACTGGTTTAAAAAACACAGCATACCTCATTTTAACATCCCCCAAGATTATTTTTATATAATTCTATTTTCTTTTATTATTGTAGTAAATGTTTATTTGATGTTAAGGTCCAAACTAACTTTGATAATGGGCCATATTTTGCATGGTTAGTGTCTCCTGCTCTACTAATGTCACAGTGGACAAACCCGCTGACTCAGCTGTGTTTAGTATTTTGGTTTCCAGAGAGCCCAAATGAGTTCAGAGAAAGTACTTCAAGAAAATGCAAACAACTGTTCTGAGAAAAGCAGCAGTGGATTGTCATCGAATTTTGAAAAAAAACATTTTTCGGCATTTTCCTGTGACATGGGACAGTTGAGTTTGTTGAAGATATATTTTAAATTAGCTACAAATTAAAGCCTTAACAGCAGATGAGTTCAGCTGTCTGTTCAAAACTGGACTTTTTCCCTTTTATCCATTAAAAATCTGTATTTAAATACTTATAGTTCATTTTATGCATTAAAAATAAATGGTTTATAGTGTTTATGCAGTGGTTTAAAACAGACTTTCCTATTTAATCTGTGAAATTAGAGTACAGGTACTTTTCTGTACTGCACGTCCTAACAAATGTGCTAACTTCTTCACTAATATAAATATAGGAATTCTTTGTACACGACTGTTATGAATATTTAGTTTTCAAATTCAAATTGCAGTTTACATTATGTTACTAGATTCTACTCCCACTGTGAAGGCTATGAACCCACTCTGCTCCTCATTCGGACCACAGATGGTGATGTAAGTAACATTTCTTAAAATTCAACCTTTTTTTAATTTTAAATTTTTATGAATTGTTTTATCTCGTGTCAGATTTATTTAGAATTTTGTTGGAATAAAATGCTAAACTTTTATTAAAGATGATTTTTAGTCAACAAAATTTAAAAGTTTGGGTCCTTTTTCCTGTATAAGGAATAATAAAAGTAAACTGGAAAAAAAACTTGTCATCTGGTACAATCTCTAATTGTGACATTTCTACTAGTTTTACTTAATCAGGTTTAGGTGTGTTTTTTTTTTTTTTTTTACAACCGATTATAGACTGTTCTTCTGATTTCTGTGAACTGRTGTCAGTCATGTGATGATTGGATTACAGCCTACAGCGGAATGATTGCTTGAACGTTGACCTCCCACAGATAGCAAGACTTTACTGGTGTTATTCTGGTGTATTTTAGTAAAACCAGAACAAATTAGGTATTCAGTGTTATTCTAAAACTCTTATGTTTTTTTATTTTTTTATTTTATTATTTGTCTTTGTTTTTATCCAGGTTTGTGGAGCCTTCCTGTCATCAGACTGGGAGGAACGGAAGAGAGGAGGCAACAAATTGAGTTTCTTTGGCACGGGGGAGTGTTTTGTCTTTAGGGTGAGTTTAATTTTTTAGAGCTGCATCAGGTGCATGCTTTTCTTTATACTTGCTGTGTTTATTGGTAATTTAAAGGGGACCTATTATGCAAAATTCACTTTTTAAAGGTTTTTTTTACTCAACTTTGGGTACGTACTTCTTAAAAAAACAGTCATAGGACCAAAAAATGCACCCAGGGGCATATTTACTGTAAGTAAATGTATTTTTAATGTATATTAATGAAGTTTTATACTTCCGTTATTTTGTGATGTCACAAGCCGTACGAAAACCCACCTGAACCTGGGTTCAGCCCCTTACCTAGCAACCCCCGGGTGAGACTCCATCTCCTCAGTATAAAAAGCCGTCACTGTGTTGTTGTGCAATGCACAACTCAGTTCACAAGTCTCCAATAGGACAATGGGTAGAGTGTTGGATCAGAGAGCAGGAGACCAGGGTTGGAGACCAGCACAGACAAAATTTATTTATTTTCGTTCGTTATGAACACGTTTTCTCATGTACCTCTATTGTTTAGCTTATTAAAGCCTTGTTAAAGCCTATTTGTTCGAGTTTCTGAGGTATTTTGACCGCTGCTGCTCCCTGCTCTGGTAACAGCATGCAGAGAGGGCAAAGCAGAGGAGGGAGAGAAAAAAAAGAAGCTGCGACCACGACTCTGCCTCTGGGTCTATCATATGGTTGTACAACGGAGCTTCTGCTATTATTAGCCATGCTAACGTAAACGCTGGCTTTGGAGGGCGGAGTTAATGTCAGCAGATTTTTGGAGGGCGTTACCAACAGAGCTCATTAACATAAACAGCTCTTCTGAACGGAAGTCAGAGCAGGCAGAACTAGAAAATGGAAAATTTTACCATCTGAGAATTATTTTGTGCTTTAAATTGAATGAACATGGTCTGGATAGCCCACAGACATACCATAAACATTTCTAGGACCCATAATTGGTCTCCTTTAAAGGTTTTAGTTTGAGCAGTGACACACTATAGCCACTAGATGGCGCCACCATCCCTGGTTTTACACATTCCTTATTGCCAGCTCGCAGGCTCAGACAGGCGCTCCACGCTTTAATGGAAAGGCTGCTGTAAAATTATGTCAGAAATCACTAGATCTTAGTGTGTCTTCCTCGTAAAAAAAAAAACAACCTCCTCATTATGCTCTGGATTAGTGCAGCTTTGAGCTCAAATTTGAGTAAATTTACACCTAGTCTTGAAATAGAAAAGAAGGCTGGCTCTTTGATGTCTTGTCTCTGAATAATTTATCCAGCCTTTTGTGTAGAGCGACAGCTGTGGGCTCTCTGAGCAGACTCCAGAAAACACATTCATCTCAAACACTAAGACTAGAGCACACCCATCGGAAACTCCTGTTACCCAACCCAGTAGTTTCTGCCCCAGCTCTCACCCGACACCACACCTGACTCACAGTCGGTCAGATGGGACTCTTTGTCAGTTAAAGATGTTAGAAGAAACATATTCAATAGACTGAAATGAAGCATCACAGTTATCTTCAATATTTTAAATTTTGTAAGTTAGCCTTCTCGCTTTAATTTCTTAATCATGTAGTTTGAGTTTTTTTCTTTGTCATTTTGTATTGTTTTGGTATTTTTAATGTTGTAAAGTGTCTTGAAAGGTGCTAATGAAGAAGTTGTTGTTGTTATTATTTATTATTCAGCTGAATAGATTTGTGTTTGTAGATTTATCACTCTGTGATAATTTTCACAATGAGGTATTAGGTTTTATATTGCTACATTTGCCAGAATAATTTACTTCCCGTTTGTCATGAAGTAAAAGTCAAAGGTTGTTTTTCAGCAGTCAGGTTTTTGTTTCTCCTTTTCTAGCTGAAGCCAGAGATGGAGCGCTACGAGTGGGTGGTGATCCGTCACCCTGAGTTGGCTTCCTCCATCAAAGCTGAGGTTCAGGACGGCACGGCGTCCTCTGAGGGCCAAAATATAGACAACAACCTACCGCAGCCGGAGAAACCTGCTGGAGATTTGTCACCGTTTCTCGCCGCTCGCCACTTTAACCTCAACTCCAAGAATACGTCCATGTTCATGGCTGGAAACTTTGACTCCATCATTGTGGGTGAGTGGACTTTTAGAGCAAGGTGTTGCAAATTCTAGCTTTTTAGTTTTTCCAAATTACTACAGTACTTTTTTATTTACCTATTTTTCGGACTATAAGCCGCACACCCAACATAAAAAAACAGTACACCCAAAATTGTCATCAAAAAAGTGAATTCAACATCAAAACATAAAAAGCAAACCTTTAGGAATTAAAGTTCGGAGGAATACGGTTCATTTAACTGACCTTATTTTGGTAGTTTTCTTTAACMGTTTCTGGTCCAACAAAACGTCTCATCGTCCTCCGGCGCACTGACAACATCGAAATCCTCCTCTTCAGTGTCGGAGTTAAACAAGCTGAGAAAAGCTGCGTCACACAGCGGTATCTGTTCAGTGTCGCTTTGTGTGTCGCTGTCCTCCCGGGGTAATGCTGGCTCTGAAGCTGTGGTGTCCTCTTCACGTAGCAGTCCAGTCTTTCGGAACCCATTGGTGATGGTGGACTCATTCACTCTGCTCCACACTGTTAGGATCCACTGGCAGACATCAGGAAATGACGCTCTTCGCATTCGGCCAGTTTTTGTGAATGATTTATCCCCGTCAGTCATCCAAGCCTCCCATTCACCCCTGAGGGCTGCTTTAAATGCACGATTCACACTGATGTCCAGGGGTTGCAAAAACTTTGTTGTACCTCCAGGAATAACAGCAGGAATTGAGTTTGTTTTCTTGATGGCTGCTTTCACCGAATCCGTGATGTGGGCCCGCATACTGTCCAATATCGTGTCTGTCGAAGATCCGTCGTGTCGTGTCTGCTACTAGCTAAAACAAAATGGCGCTACACCTCTGGCTAAGCTGGCAGTATGGTCGCTCGGCTGTCGACCGGCCGACGCACCGTCACGTGATTGTTCGGCGTTCGTTTTCGCACTGACCTTTCATAGTTCCCCCGAGAAACCCCGAGCCTAGCTGCTGGGAAAGCCCTCCCGCTCCAGCATACATCACTGCATGGGATTCCTTCTCCGGGGAGTGCAATGCCGAAAAAAAAGTTCCACGGCTCTTCACTTGACGTTGATCCACAAACTGGTCCCAGATTAAGCTCCAAAGTTTTTATCAGTCAGATACCACCTTGAAAAATGTCTGTTTTATCCCCTTTTATGAGTTTTTGGCCATTGACTATCTTTAAATCGCTGCTTCCTGGTACAACAGTCGGCTCTGGAAGCGATCGCTTTTTTCTTCCTTTTTTTTTCTTTCTTTTTTTGAAGCGAGTGGTTGAAGCAAATGCAGCATAAGAGCCCCCTGGTGGCTGAAGAAAAAAATCCACGTGTAAGCCGCACCGGACTATAAGCCGCATGGTTCAAAGTTCAGGAAAAAAGTCGCGGCTTATAGTCTGAAAAATACAGTATTTTTTTTTTTTTTTACCCATATTTTAGTTGACACGTCAATATTTAAAACACCATTGGCCTCCATCGCAACAATGAGCATCATGTATTTTACAAGTGTGTAACATTTCATATTCTTCTCTCTGAACAGGAGGGGGTGAGGGCAACGCTCTGTACATCGACTCTGAGCTGAACCACGGCCGCACAGGCAGGTGCACCACCTTCGACAACCCGCCGCTGTGCGCCGAGAGCTTCCAGGTTTCACTGCTGGAGGTGTGGGGCTTCCAGGACGCCATGGCTCAATAGTTCTGCACACAAACATATCGCACATCCAAAAGTGGACCCTTGAAGCTTATTAAAGTGTAACACTTAAACATCAAGAAGTCAAGTGATCGACACTAAGTCTGAAGTTTCATGCAAGATGGTTGAGGCTGAAAATAAATCAGCAAGATTCTTACTTACTTTTTTTATTTATTAATGCAGTACATCCAAATTTGAAAATGTGAAATTATATTTTGTTTTTCTCTTTATTTTTGTATTCTGCACTTATCGTGTTGAAGTGGTGATGGATGTGGTCGGATTAACAGTATTGAGCTCATGTAATGTTTTGTTGTTCATCTCTCTGCCAAAGTGGGTGTGAAACAAGCTCTGCAGTCCTTGAGATTATTTACCAGAACATGTTGACAGATTTTCCCATCAGCATTTGTGAAACCTTCATTTTAATGGTAAATGTTGAACACAATGTTGTAGTGAAGTTGAACCAGGTCAAGTGAAACTTTAGCCCAGTTTTGTCATGTTTTTCTAGACTTTTTGATCTGCTACATATACTGTGTGAGATCTGATCCCTGAATAAATTGAGTAAACGTTTGACATTAATGCCCTTTTGCACCGTCCGTGAAAACTTGTTTCTGGATTATGTTTGTTGAAGATGATCTTTTCAAAGTAAAAGACAAACCTGTGAAACAAATGACATTTGATCATCTTTTTTTTTGCATGTTCAGTTTGTAACAATGATGGGAACTAATTCAAATTGTGCACTATTGGAAAAAGGTTTAAGATTGCCGTTTTGTGCTTTTGTGTGCGTGCTCTTGTGAAATGTCATTGTAGTAGCTGCAGATGTGAACTAAATGTGAAAATACAGTATTAGCTGTCAGTGAAATGACCCTGATCTTTTGTGTGGTTACTACTATCACATGACTGGCCTTCGAAAGAGTCCGCTACATTATTTTCAGGTTCTCAGAAATGTGCCACATGCCTCTTTAATGCAGCTGGCCATGAGTATAACTCACTTATCCCTGACAACTTTTTTTTTTCTTTTTGCCTTACTACAAGTAGATTGTCTGTTGCCCCCGCCTCCAAAAAACAACAAAAACAAACAAAAAAAAMCCCTGTATGTTAGTGTTTCCTTTTAATAGGGCTGCACAAGATATCAGATTTATGTCCAGTGCTATAAAATGTGGATACAAACATGATTTGCCAATTAGATGAGTATTGTGGGTTTATTGCAGCAAAACAATAGTTTTCTAATATGCAGCCCTACATAATTGTATAATCATGTGTTAATTTTGAAGTATATTAAAGGAAAAACCCTACAGGTTTCGATTTAAAACACCAGTTTGAATAGTTGGACAAGACTTTAATAAATGAACAGATTTTATAATCGTAGGTCTAATCTCTTCTAACAATATGACTACTACATTGGCCAGACGTGCTGCTTCTATTTTTGTTCACGTTTCCTCTTTGTGGAAGTTGACAGTGAATGGTATGACTGGAAAATATTTCATTAGCGTGACTCGTTTGCACAAATATATCTGTAAAAGCCTGCCTGTTACAAAGTCTTTGAACCCATTATTAGATTTCATTGAGACCTAATAGCGATAATGTGTCCGTACATCTGCATCATATTCAAACAAGTTTTATTTCTCAGGCACTGTGTTAAACACTTCAGTTTAAAAACATTTTGATGCCAATCGATGGCAGTCCATTACACGAAAATGCGTAGTCTATTCATTGCAATGGATGCACTTTGATTTAATGCATTTTGAAAAACGTATATCTCAGGTGACGGATTATGTAATTCCATCTTTCCAGTAAGAGGTATCGACTCTCTTTACTGGGTTGGTGCTGTTCATTCAGGATTCTCACTGCTAATCACACATGCGCTTCTATTTTTAGCTGCTCCTTTGGGTGTTGGTCTGGTGCATCTCCTGAAAAAAAAAAAACCCTCCTTACTCAGCCATGAGGAGTAAGATGCTTAAGTGTTTAACCCTACAACAACATGGGCTTTTCCTTGACCACCCACTCCCCTCGGCTGGTTATATGGAAGATTTAAAAGCCGACTGTGGAGGTTCGAACACTTATTGGTTGAATTTACAAACTGTGAGGAGACTGTTTTTGATGTTCCAAGTAAAATGTACAGATTTGGTTGTTATTTTTGTCTTTTACTGGTCAAATCTTTAAAAAAAGACATATAAAAGYAAATCTTAAATAGTAATCATTGAAGCATGTGCTTGTTGTGGTCCCTCTTTGAAAATATCTTGTGAGGGTTTCTCATCATTCTCCATTTCCCCCGTCCCAAAACAAATGTGATGTGATTGTATCATCTGCTAAAAACCTATTGATTAATACCACTCAGTGACATGGGGATTCACCCAAAGCAAACAGGAAGCACCCGTGTGTAAGTGATCATGTTACACCCATGCTGTGAAATGAGCTGTTTGCACACGGTTGCTTAGTGTATTCCTGAACATAATCTGTTAAATGTATAATGTCTTGGTTTTGAATCAGCCCAAAGAAAAGGAGAGGTGGGAAAAAAAGGGCAATCTGCTTCACCGTGACCTTGTTAGTGGTGCATCACCTCCATCTCAAAAAAGGTTTTTTTTCTTTTAGTTTCACAATGCTGTCTCAAATAGTGTGGAAATGTTAGCTGAGTGGAGAGGAAGGAGGCCTGTGATGCATGTGGAGACACTGCATCACGAATGATGGGGCCATACTGGGGGGAGGGGTCCTGTAGTGCTGAGTTGGCCATGCAATGCAGAAAAGAGAGCAGGATGGAGGGAAAAAAGGGGTACTGCACAAGGTCTTTCTGAGTCATACACAGCTCCCCTCCATCTTAATTTGGCTCTTCACTTGTCTTGTCCTCCTTTTCAGCCTGGATTTCAGAGCCTGCATTTGTTGGACGCCGCACAGACTCKCACACCACATGGCTGCATATCACAAGTGCCTGTGAAACACTGCTGTGAGTGAGAACTTGTGCAAAATGCAGGAAAGTGTCAGCAGAAGAGTCAGTATTTAACGATGCCTAATATCAGTTGTTGTCTAAAATACTAAAAATATTTAAGTGTTGTTTAGTGAAAATAATAATAATAAATAAAAAATCATACTGTCTCCACACCCTGCATTTCCCCATCATCCTTTAATCCTCTGCCTCTGAAAAGGTGAATACGTAGATATCAAAGGGAAAGCCTGCAGCGGAGCATACCAAAGTGGTGACTAATAGGGGGTGACTTAAAAAGAGGTTGCGGGATTACCAGCAGTTTTAAACACACTTTTAAATTAAAATAAGTCTTTTGATTTTTAGGAGTAAAGTAAMTTGTCATACACATCTATTGTGAAACGGGTTAGGTAGTTTACGAACTTTGTTTCTCTTCACCCCCCCCTCCCTTAGCGGGTAGATGGTTTCTTCCACACGGTCAGTCAGGTGATACTTTCCGCTTCGCCATTTTGTGCTGCTGCGCCGGGTATTTATCCGAAGAGTCGTGACTGTCTCGTTTACACAGTTTGGTTAGGTGRTTAGACGGTTCTTGTTTTACCCAGTATTGCATTACCAGCCCGTGGCCTTCGATTAGTTCACGCCAAGTGCGATTTTTCTTGACCCGTTAGTAATTATTAGTTTTGTATATATATTTTTTTTGTTTTTGTAAATATCCCGTGAGAAAGAATGTCGAGCTCAAGCCCCGAATACTCACCGTTCTTCGCAGTGATGGGTGCCTCCGCGGCTATGGTGTTCAGCGGTAATTATACCTCTTTTTTATTATTTTAAAGCTTTTTGTTTCATGTTATGTCAATATTTTCATTATTTTTCTGGTACGAGTGTTTAAATCCCAACAGTTGTGCCTGTCAGACGTGGCGCTCGCTTTAAAGCTAACGATGTAGCTAATAGTGCTAACGTTTCAATGCTAATTCTGAGCTGTCATGTAGGCTGCATACTAGCTGCACAGCGGCTGAACATTATTTCTAACATACATTTTTCTGATTTTCAATTACATGTATCGCTAACAACCTTTTATACTTAAACACASGACAACAGAAGGGACTAGTCAAGGCTAGTTAACTAGTGTATTTGAGGTAGCATTGATCTTAGCATAAGCTTTGTTCGTTAACTGCTTAATGAAACGAAAGCGCATAAAAGTAAAAGCTCTTGCTCGCTTTATGGTATCAGAATAAGGTAATATTATATAAAACAGTGTTTTAATCGTGTATAGTGATTTGAAATTATAATATGATTAAAACTGCTAGCTAGCAGCAGTCAAACGTTTACTGATCACTTTCTCCAGTTTTTCTCACGTACCTTCATGATTAAAATATAAATATGTTGCATGATTTGTATTGACCATTGTGTAAATTGTGTCTAAAAGTCAACAAGCAGCATCAGTTTGCGTCCTAAGTTTATGTAGTCCCGCATAGCCGTCTTACCTGTAAACTATGAAGTAAATTTAGTGGTGCAACTATTAATTTTAATGCTGCTTTCTTGTTTAAAAATCACATTTTCTATAGGTTAAAAACACTGAAAGCCGTTATCACCTGGTTTAACTTCCTTGGTACTGGAAAAAGTCACATGATGAGACTTGTGCAGACTGGTCCTCCGAAAAATCCGTGTAAACTTTGAACCTAAAGAATAAGCATATGTTCAAAAAAGTACATGTGGATATTTTTCCCAAAAATAAATACATTGGCCTTGGTTACAAATACTCAAAGTTGTTGTTGTTAGGGTTTTTATAAGTGTAAAGTGTGACAGACTGGACTTTGAAATGTTTTATAGTTGTTTTTATGGACTYCTTTTACCAGGTTGTCATTAGTTTCCCATCAGTTTAAAGCAAGAGATGCTGGTCACAAGTTTTCCTGTTGGGAGAGGATGTCAACATGTGACCGGTGTGATGTGTGCAGCTCTGATGTAAAATTAACTAGCTGCTTATTGAACATTTACAAAGAATTTGACTCGCTGTTGCTCAAGGCATTGATCATAGCTTCATTATTTTAAATCAAAAAGAAGTTACTAAAGTGTTTTAATGTTGAATAATCTTTGTATACGCTTTTCAAAGTTTTCAACTGGGACATTTTAAGACTAGGATTTTATTTTACCCACGAAATTTTACTTAAGCACTTAATCGCAAAGTGTTGGAAAATGCTCTAATGATTTTAAACAAGTTAAATGTCTGATTTAAAAAAATTGCAGCTTGGTTATGTTGCTTTRTACAACTAGTGAGGGAGTGACAGCTGGGGAATTAGCTGGTAGGGAGGGGATCATGCTGGTAAGAAAAGGGAAGTGATGGCAGGATGAACGTGGTTAGTTAATGATAGAAAAATCAGATGGAGGAATTATGCACTGAGCTGGGAGCATACAGCAGCTCAAACTGCGGTTGTCGTTAAAGGGGTTGTGTTTTCTGGCATTCAGATGTGGAGGGAGGAAATATGATGTCTGGCTTAAAGCAGATAACACTTGCAGGGTGTCACAAATAGTATTTTTCACTATGAMTTCTGCTACTCGTACTTTTAGCTTATAAGAACATGAAAATGGCTACATCTGTATTTGTGGTGAATTTAAATGGGTTTTGACCACTTAAAAATGCATATATGCAAATAACTGTGTCTAAACATTTTATTTTCCCCTCTTAGTTGCTATTCGTTTCTTTTGGTTAGATTGACTGTCATTTTTTCAGTGTGCCTAAATCTAAAAATAAATTGTGAACAAAGTCCCCACCCTCGGATATAGCTTCTTCTGCTAGCAGCCTGTGCTGACATGGAGTTTTGATTAAAATAATGCTTAACTTGATCATATTCTCCAGTCTGCTGCTTGATGTGTGATCTGTAAGAGCATCCAGTGCTGGAGGCACCTTCTGCTCTGATGTCACAAGATGCGGGGCATCCCATCTTTTGAATATTAAACAGGGATAACACATGAAAGCTCTTTACCTAAAATGGGAGGATTAGGATTAAAATCTAGATGTTCTGCTTTCACACGGTTGAAGAAAACCTCCATGTAAAACTCATAGAGCCTTTTAATCATTGATTCATACAGCTTCCTTGTTGTCACCTACATTTGTCACACGTCTAGTTTATGAAAAAATAAAAGTGAGGAGAGTGAGGTGTAACATTAGACAGTGGTTATGGTTGGTGTTAAAGTGTTGACAGGTCATTTGTTTTAAAAGCCCCAAAGCATTAGAATTTAAACATGTCCTTTTCAGTTGTTTTCCATTTTGAATTAAARTCTCTGTGGGGAAATTAGTTAATCAGTTGTGTATTTATTTGCTGCAGTAGGTATAATATTTTGTTGGAATTTGACATTTTAGTCCAGCAGCAGATCATGTGGTATAAAATGAAAAGTATGACAGTTTTCTGCTTTTGTTGCAGTTAGCAGAAACAGCACCTCGTTGCAATCAGGCAGATCTCTTTAAATTGACTGGAGTGATTTAACCTGCATTGATGGCATCAGTTTGGTGATGCATCACTGGGAATTGAAAGGAACATGGCCAGCTGCCATGTCTGTGTTTGACCATTCTGTCTGCCACAAAGCCATCTGGGTGGTTGTGTAGTTAACTGGAACCATCTCCAGTCTAGAGATGGATGATATATTGGCATTAATATCGGTATTTGCCGATATTGATCTTTTTTTTATTTATTTATTTATTTATTTTTTTTTTAGAAAATCAGTATCGGTCCAATAGGTAAAACTGGGCTGATATTAACATCTGGTATTGATTTCCCACTTTTTAGTTTTGTGTTTCTGTTTTGGGAGTGGAGATGGTTGGTTGAGCGGCATCTGTTTGATCATGATAGTGATATTTATGCTGTGTAGCCAGGAATAACTGAAGTTGGGAGCCATGTTGGGGGTCTGATCGTTTATTTACGGTATCAAAAATAAAAGACCCAAGTGTGTTTGTGTGTATATAATATAATTTATATATATAATATATAATTTGTGTGTTTGTATAATATCGGTAAATATTGGTTATTGGCCATAACAGCTATAATTATATCGATATTGGCTGAAATTTTCATATCAGTGCATCCGTAATCTCCACGCTCACAGAGCACGAGAAAAGAGGAACCAGGACTCTCTTAGTAAAGCTGCTTTTCAAGATTTTGCTGAAGATTTTACAGATTTTTTTAAAATTATTGTGGTTTTAGGAGCCAAGAAAAATATGCACCAGTCCATTAAAGATTAAAAATGGCCACAGAAAAGACAAAACCTAGATAATATTAATATTGCCATAGAAGGTAGACGTGTGGGTCATTTGTAAGTAGAATCTAAAATGAATAGCATTTGAGAATGAATTAAATATTGCTCTGTAAGCAGGATTTGGGGCTATGCAAGTAAATGCATAAAAAATTAATCAACCTTTGTGACTCATTTTAATGTAGTGCTATGTCATCACTTTCACATGTTTTCATTGACAGTTGTAAACATATTGCGTGATTACATCGCACATTGCTGAGAAATCTTGTCAGACCTGCTTGTCTTTGATTCACAGCTCAGTGCCATGCTCTGACAGGCTTTGTTGGATATTGTAAACAACTTCTTGTTTCACCTGCGAGTTGTCAAGCTGGACTAATAGCAGCTGTTTTGTTTTCAGCTTTGAATCTGGGTGATTGATTGTTGCTGCCATTAGACTTGTTTGTGTGTGATGTAGCACAGTTTGCTCATCAGTGTCAAAGCTTTCTGGTGAAGTGTTTTGTTATCTTTGTTATGTTGCAGCATTGTTTGCCACAGACTCCTGTATTGTGAAAAATACGTTCGACACCTGTTACGCCAGCATGAAACTMTAGTTCCTCTCTGATACCCAGGTTTTTATGTCACTGTTAAAAGCCTGTTGCTGTTTTTCTGTTAATGGTTAAACATCTTACTTGTATGACTGTTTGTAAAAGTCAACATGTCAGTGAGTTTCAGATAAAAAGCAAAACATGTGACACAAATATTTAGTTGCATTTTATGCGCATGAGTGGGAAATGAGAAGTGGTGTTTCGGTTCATCAGCTGGAGAAATCCCCACATTTAATCATGTTGGATTTTTATTTTTTAAGAAATTGAGTCTGTTGGTTTTATGGTTGCTCCATTTATTATTTCACTTCTGCTTCACTGTTCAGATACTGCCCTGTGATTTCTAGGGTCAGTTAAGTTGTGTCTTGCATTATATGATTTGTACTCTAGTTTAACCATGTCGTCTGTGGTCTTTCCCTCCAGCCTTGGGAGCAGCCTACGGCACAGCAAAGAGCGGCACGGGTATTGCTGCCATGTCTGTGATGAGGCCAGAGCTCATCATGAAGTCCATTATCCCTGTGGTCATGGCCGGTATTATAGCCATCTACGGCCTGGTAGTAGCAGTGCTGATTGCCAACAACACCTCAGAGACGATCACTCTATACAAGTGAGTTCAGTGTCTGTTGTTAGTAATTTATGTTTTTATGTGAAACACATATTTAAAGCTGATTTCACCAATTAATGATTTAATAGTTGTACTGTTCAACAGACTCTCATAAGAAACGTTTTATATGGTTCTAACCAACTCCAGAGCTGCACATCTAACCTCATCACAAATGCTTGGGGGCGTTGTTTCTGTTTACATTTGTCTAAGCAATACAAGAATAAAATTGCTGCTTTTTTATTTTTATTTTTTTAAGTACGAAGAGGATAGGTAACATCACGCTTAGCCTTTTTTAGCCTTTGTGCTTATTAAAAAAAAAAAAGCATATTAAAGAATTTCCCATTGCTGCACTTTGTCAACTAAATATTAAATATTTTCAGTCTTTCACATCTAAATGCCAGATCATTTGTCAACAGTTTTGTGCTGATTAATGTTCGTCTGTGTAGGAGTTTCCTCCACCTCGGAGCTGGACTGAGCGTGGGCCTCAGTGGGCTGGCAGCAGGCTTCGCCATCGGCATCGTGGGCGACGCCGGCGTGAGGGGCACAGCTCAACAGCCAAGGCTTTTCGTGGGCATGATCCTCATCTTGATTTTTGCCGAGGTCCTGGGTCTCTACGGGCTCATCGTTGCCCTCATTCTGTCCACGAAGTAAACACCCCAAAACATCTCCACTACGAGATCGATCCTTTATGTTGCTGCTGGAGGAAGTGTAAAAGTGGGGGGGAATAATTAAAAAAATTAAACAAAATAAAATCTGCCATGCAAGATGAAAGAAATGAAAGTGGAGAAAAAAATGATTTAAAATGGCTCCATAAATATGGTCTTTTTCTCAAATGTGTATAGTTGTCCCGATTTGATAGTCAACTTGTAAATGCGCAATGTAGTGATTTGTCTGTCTTGTATGTGTGTGTGCGTGTTAAAAAAAAAAAAGTAAGATGAAGATTTTTCTGTTTGTCCCTCCACTTATTTCAGGCTTTGAATCCAGCTGAGGCAGCTTGGCTTCTGGTTTTAGAGAGCTGACCAAAGGGCCGCACAGCTTTTATTTCTCCTCCTGTATTTAGGGCGGAGTTGTAAGATTATCTGAATTAATCTCGAGGATCTACTTGTAAAAAAAAAAAAAAAGTTGTGTATGAACTTAAGATCTTTATTTTGTCTGTTTTTCACTGATTTTATTTATGAGAAATTGTTCATTGATCTGTTAAAATGCAGCGAAAGTCTAATTGTCCAGGATATATTTACATATATAAATCTATATACAGACATATAAATATCTATATAGATAGATTTTAATGCACTGTGGGTTAATTGTGATAAGTGGTTGGAATTCCTCTGGATGTAAATCTTGGTTTAATAATTAAGACTGCCTTTTAGTACGTTGCTGGTGGAGTGGGAGTTTTGTGTGTAGCTGTATTCTAATCAAAACGCAACCATCTTCAAAAACTTCAGTGTTTCTTCCTGTAGTACTGCTGTTTGCATTAAGTGTGTGTGTGTGAGCGTGCGTGCCCTGTGTTGGGTCTCACAGGTGTAATTTTCCACATTCCATCTCCTCTCTCCACTCTTCTTCACGACCTCCCGTTTCATCTGTGGCTGTACCTCATCTTCCTCATTCCAGCCATTTAAATCCTGCATGGGGTTCAGTGTTTTCTTGCTGTTGGAATCTAAACTTGCAGAGCAGGTTTGTTTCAGAAGATTTAATCCAGATCCGAATGCAACTTCAATATCAAAACGATTTAAAAGGAAAACTACAAAAGATATCATTTAGATTCAGGAAGRTTGGTTCGTGTTCAGATTTCTTGTAGTTTTCTTCCATTTTGATCTGGAGTTTTTTTTCTGGAAATGAAACTGCTGGTGCATTTTACTGAAGCGGCAATCTAAAATCCTGTACAAACGCTGATATTGAAGCTATCCTGATGTATCGACGTTTTCACAATTAAAGATTCTAACTTTTGACTGACTTCCAAACACAAATGTGTTTTCAGTACTTCATACTTTAATTTTCAAACTTGTGCAACTAGAGAAATTAAAAAAGGCCAACATAAAAAAGGAAGGACGTTAGGAGATCACAACACTTTACAATGTGGTGGGGGGATAAGACTTACAAAAAAAAAATCACTATTACAAAAATGAAGTTATTTTATGCTTTCAGTTTCTGTGCTCAAAACTTGACACCTGTGAGCCACAATTGGCAAAAGCAGCTCTAAAAGTCTTCATGTCTGTATTCTGGAGATGCATCAGATTAAAAAGAACACGTTTCCGAATTAGTTAGCATTTTATTTTAGCTACATTGGAACAGCATCTATCTACAAAAAATACAACTAACTGCAACTTGATTCAATCTGTTTCGAGGCTTTTGAGCAGAGTTTGAGAAATACTGCTGATGGTGCTGAATGTGGCGCTGTCAGGAAATGACTGGGTGAAGTCTTTGCCTTCCTCTAAACTGGCGCAGAGAAGAGGATCCAGAGGCACAGAACCTGAAGAGAAAGGATCCACATTTCAGTTCAACCAATCACTTATTTAACCAGATAAAACCCACTGAGTTCAAGATCTCTTTTCCAAGGATAACMTGGCCAAGAGGTCAGCAGCCCACGACATAAAATAAAAATAATTTACAATTAAAAGGATACAACAGTGTTCACGAGTATCAACAAATATTACAAAAACAATTACTTAAATAGAATGAAATGTGTTCTAATGTACTAAATACACCAGGTTAACATTAGCTTACTWTGCAGGATAGTTGTGAGCTACTGACAAATCTATAGGGTGCATCATTACTCAGGACTGCAAACAAAGCTGGTTACCACCAAAGGAAGTTATTTAACCCACTAATTTTCCCCAAAATGTTTTTTTTTTTAATCCTATCCAATCCAGCAACCTACACCTTCACAACATTAGAATTTGAACAGGCCAGTTTATGGTGGCAGTGATGCAAAAGCGTCCAAATGTTAAAAATTGTAAGGTCGTTCATATTGTGTAGCGAGCTCTTGTGGCTGCAGGCTGACATTACAAACAGCTCACTGCCATCTGTCTCACCTAAGAACACAGATCCGGTTAGTTCAGCCAGTTCTTCACCACCACCCTTTGAAAATATGTTGCTGCACTCCTGTAAATCAAAAAACAAACAAAATAAATAACCCAGCAGCATTAAATGAGAAACTTTCCGACAGAGTTGGGTAATATTAAAATGAATAGGGATTACTCACCGAGCAATGTGGACAAACAAAGCCGCTCATATTCTCTACGATTCCCAGGATACRAAGACCTGTTTTCTTACAGAAGGTGACTTCTCTCCTCACATCTCCTGTTGACACTGCCTGTAGTAACACGAAATAGGCTAAGTGGATGTAATTGTATCCTTTACTACATCAGCTTACATAGAGGTGAAAAGGGTACAAGTTCCTATAAACGCAGAACGTGGTGGGTCGTATCACCCCCTCAAACATTAGGCTCTTACTGTTTACCTGAGGCGTGGTGACCAAAATGGCTCCATCCACTCTGTGTTTTTTAAAGTTTTCCAGTACGGCCATGTGTTCATCGGACGTCCCCGGCGGCGTGTCCACCAGCAGCACATCCAGCTCCCCCCATGCAACGTCTGACACAAACTGGCCAATCAAAGCTGTAGGAAGAAGTATGCAGACATGAAATATGCAAGCTCAAGAGCAAAATCCTAATGCTCATTTTTTTTTTAGAAATTACATCACATAAGTATTTTACATTTTGAAGCACAATTATTTTCTCCCAAGGTAAAGAAAAACTTAACTTTTCAGTGTTTTTTTACCCTGATATGACTGCCTAAATCTAACAAAAGTGATAAATGAACCACACTCCTGTAGACCAAGACCTTAGCTTTCATCAAGTAAATTATGCAAATTTACACCCCTAAATATGCGCAAGTTCAATTAAAGTCATAGTGGGGGGGGGGGTGCTTTACAATTACTTAAATTGACAATAATACCATTTTTCTTTGGCCCCCTCCACACCACAGCTTCATCTGGGTCTTCCATCAGGAAACCAATGGACATAAGAGCCAGACTCTTCTGTGGATCCGTGTACACTGGTACCCAGCCTGAGTCACACTGGTGCACCTCGGGCCGGCTCACACTCAGCATCTTGGGAATACTGGGCCCACAAAGGTCAACATCCAGGATACCAACCTGACAAACAACAAGCCTTTGGTCAAAYTGTCATTTAATTCACCTGCTTAACGTGACGTAATGATGAAACCAGCCAGGTATGGAAGCTCACCTTTTTCCCYGAATGCCTGAGAGCCAGGGCCAACTCTGTGGTGATGGTGCTCTTTCCCACACCTCCCTTCCCTGACAGCACCAGAACAACATGCCGAACCTGGGCCAAGTTCCCAACTTCTAAATGAAAGAGGAGTTTGGTTAATGCTAATAATAATGATTAGCTATGAGCTAATTTTTCATTTTTGGTACAAATATCGCAGCTAATGCTTACAATTAGTAAGTAACGACATTTATTTATAAACGCAAAATTGTTAGAGGACATGTGTGTGGTTTGGGCAACTTTTATAATAAATCCTGAATAATAATATCAGTCTTAGCAGCATGTGACCGAGTTGAAGTTGAGTTACCTAAGCTAACAAATGACTTGAGACCCCGGTCTGTTGCAGTTTCCTGGCTTGCTCATATGAAGCTATAAGTACCGCTAAAACTTTAGTTTATGTTTATTTTAACAAATATATTACACAGACATACCATTATTATGCTCCATATTTCAGATAACCAGCTACTACTCCACGGAAACAGAGAAAACAAGTTTCCGGTATCGTCACGCACTAATCCTATCCTCCAATCATGAAGCTCGTTTTCCATGTTTGTCCCGCCTCTTTTCTTGAGCAACCAATAGGCTACGGGATCGAAGGAATGGTGCATTCATGTACCCCTAAAACTGTAGCACCACTTATCATTTATGTATGTTTAATGAAAAATAACAATACTAAACTGAGCACCTGGACAATCAATAGTTGAAATAAACACTAATTTAAATATAAATTTATAGCTGTTTAAACTACAATGTTTGCAAATTTGTGGTAACTTCTTAATATTAAAAAAAAAATCGCTGTAGAGTTGTTCCAAAAGCCAGACGTTTGGAAAACATTTTTTTCTTGTACAAAATGCTGAGATAATCRGAATCTCACACGATACGTCTACAAAATGCTGAGATAATCAGAACCTCACATGCGTCTTGATATTAGCATTCAAGCAGACGTAGCCAGATCAATTTCCACGAACTCCTCCTCCGCTCAGCTGTAATCCAATAGGAGCTGAGCGAAGGAGTGGAGAAGTTGTGTTTACGTCTATCCTGCCTGGAAGTGGGACAGAGTGCACACTGCAGCTGTCACACAGGAGGACAGGCAGGCAAATGAGGCACTGCAAGACAGTGTACAGGAAGACCAGTGTAAGGTAAGAACATAACCTCATTTCTGTTCAGTTACACTGCTGCGTGTCTGCTTGTTTTAGGATGAAGCAACTTGGAAAACTAGTGGGATGTTTATGAACTTTTAGCCCTCAGTTGTTGTTGTTGTTGTTGTTGATGATGATGATGATGATGATGATGATGATGATGATGATGATGTTGATGATGTGAGGCAATGGAGATTAAGATAACCAGGCATGAGAGCTAAAAACTGAGTTTACATCTGAACAAACGTAATATAATAAAGGTTACACACACTGCTGTCCATTGACGGCTAAATTGAYATCATATCCATCAACACACTGACTCAACAATGTACCATCCTGACTCAGACCTCCAGATGATGCGTTTGGAGTATATAGGGTAAGGCTCAATTAAAATGAGACTTGCTCYAGACTGGCTAATCTAAACTAATGGCAGTCATCTGCTGCACCTGCCTGTAAGCAGCAACCAGCTGCTGCGTTCAGGGCCTGGCGTCAGGTCCAGAACGGTCAACTTAATGTTATTACAGTGAAGATAACAGATCTGTTATACCTGGAACAACGAGGATAAATGTAATATGAAGCAAGTGTGTTTTTTTGTCTGTGAGTTTTATTGCGAGGGGTTGCATTTCASAAAACAGAGCTTTAACTGAGGGAATTGATTGTAATGATTAGTGTCTGTGGAGACAGTAAACAGCTCAACACTAGGGTTTGATATCACTAAAAACCACATTAATCATCTATTTTTGGTCAACGAATCAGCTGTCATCTGGTTTGAAGGCTGAAATGTTCGACCGTTTTAGCCAGTATAAACCAGTGGGCCGATTATAATACARCTTTATAAAAGTAATCGTTGAATGTGCATACACAACTGATAAATTTTTAGAACCGACTCAATTCAAGATGACATTTTTTAATCAGTTTTACATTTATTGAGCTMAAGTTTGGTGTGGTAGAATTTGAAACTGATCAGCACAAATTCTGAGGTGTCTGTTAGCAAATTATCTCACAAACTACTTGATGGATTTTGATGAAACTTTTAGAAAAYAATCATTAGTTGAACATCTATGTTCCATTACCTTTTGGAGCCAATTTAATTCAAGCTGACTGCCACACAAACTGACCTTTTGAAAACGCAAAGATCAGTAAATTGCAGTTAATTTTATAGGCATGTAGATAAAATTTGAAGCGAATGAGATGAATGCACAAGATATTTGATTAAASACATCAGCAACTGTTGGATTCAGTTTTGTTTGTTAGCAAAACATTTCCAGAATGACGGRACGGATTCTAGCGAAACCTTCGGACAGCAGTCACTGCGTGTTATGTTTCTATTTGATCGGCATCCAATTCAAGATGGCCACCACAGTTAACAAAACGTGGCTAACGAAAACAAAGCTCTAACTCAGCCAGTTTAAAAAAATACTGYGCTAAAATCTGTTGTGGCAATAGCTGAGTCATTCCCAACAACTCATTTGATTGCGCAGTATTGCTTGTGGTTGTACATGATGTTATTTTCAAAGTAAAAAAAACAAAACAAACAAACTCAAATTCATAACAAACAAAAAAGATCTTGGTTTAAAAGTGCCCTTCTGTGCATTCTGTCAATGCTGACTCACGTTGTGGGCCAATAAAACTTGCTGAATAAAGCTAGCCTTCCTCCACGCTGCTACAGTGGATTTAAAGATTCGGCACGTGTGAAGACGCACTTCCTGGTGCCAAGTGTGACATATGGAGATGGAAAAAGGAGATCCAGGACACACAAATCATTCTGCTCTGCCTGCCTCAGATGAACGGGGAGGGAGCTTTAAAATGACAGCAGGAGCTTGGCAGAAACATATTTAAAATAAAGAGAGTGTTAGTGATTTATTTTGGAACTGTCTGACACAATCGTGAGACATTTTAAAGGGATCCCCGATTAGTTGTAACATTAGACTTTATTTGATAAACATCTGTTTTAACAATGAATAAAGACTGTAAAAATACTGTAGGCTGTTTAGTTTTGTAAATTTTTCAAAATATATTTTAACACGGACGGAGCCATTTTATTTACACACAAAGCATTCTGGGTAAATGATGACGAGGATAGGTCCTCGGTGTGATCGAGCTATATCCACCCTGAAGGTTAATCTTGGACAATATCTGATGATCGACTCTTTTAAATGAAACCAGGGAGCGTTGACAGAGAGGAGAAGGTAGAAATGACTCAGCCTGTAACTGAAAATATGGATGGAGGACAACAGAGCTACTTCATGGAAGAACCTCAGCTTAGCCTGTTAGCCTTTGCTCTAGCACTGACGCTATATGTATTAGCTCGGTGCTAGCACTACAAACAAGCTAAACTGAGGTCCTCCATCCATATTTTCAGTTGCAGGAGTCATTTTTGCGTTCTCCTCTCTGTCATGTGGATGGAGGACCTCAGTGACGAGAGGAGAATGTGTAGTGCTGAGCTAATACATATATATGGTGATAGCGTCGGGGCTAACGCTAAAGCTAACAGGCTAAGCTGAGGTTCTTCTTCCATGAAGCAGCTCTGTTGTCCTCCATCCATATTTTCAGTTACAGGCTGAGTCATTTCTACCTTCTCCTCTCTGTCATTGCTCTCTGGTTTCATTTAAAAGAGWCRATCATCAGATATTGTCCAAGATTAACCTTCAGGGTGGATATAGCTCACTAGCAGCCTCGCACCGAGGACCTAGTTGATGTCATCATTTACCCAGAATGCTTTGCGTGTAAATAAAATGGCCCCGTCCGTGTAATACATTTTTAAACTTTTAGTTTAATAACTATAAAAACTGAATAATCCTACAGTATTTTTACAGTCTTTATTTTACAGTTAAAGTATATGTTTATCATATAAAGTCTAATGTTACAACTAATMGGGGATCCCTTTAAAATCATGGCCTAGAAATCCCTGAATAAATAAGATGTGTGCTCGGGGATCACCCCTGACCTTACTTACTGGCCCATAATTTAAGAAGTACGCGGCCTCCAGCTCGTTTGCCAGCTGGTCACCAGGTCTTGTGCCGGCTGTCCGCAGAGCTGCCATGCTGAGACGAGGCAGAAACAGCAGAACTCGACATTTGGCCTGGAGTGACACGCGGCAGGAGACAGATGTCATGGCTGCAGACTATTCCACCGACAGTGATGAGCAGGAGAGCCAAACAGCGACACAGGTGAGAAAAGACATGAGTGGGTTAGAGATTAGTGGAGAAGCAAAGCTTTCAGTCAAAGAAATTGTGGATTCTGACTACTGAATGAGAAGCTGCAACTGAGTTGGTAAAAGTAGTAAAACAAGCTTGAAGTAGCTAGCAAACTACAGCTAAAAACAAAAAGAAGCAGAATAAATGGTTAAAAATAGCAAAAGGCTAGCTAAAGCAAAAAGTAGCAGAAASGATGGATGTGGGGAAGATATTTACCATTATTTACAATCGAGTAATAACAAACCATAAGTCACAGCATYCGTCTCCTGCATGAGCGGAACACGAGCCACGTCTGTGAACTCATCAGCTTCTGTTCTGTGCAGATCAGCGATTTGGAGTGGGAGGTGGGTTACCCCAACAGACCAGCGAGCGTCTCAGAGGTGGTCCCCCTGCCCAGCAAGCCACCAGCGATGGAGGAGACCTTCTACCTCTGTGAGCCACAGGACGAGGTCAGCCCAGGTGTGGGGGTCACCCCTGACTGTGTCTGTGGGGAGAAGGATCAGGGTGAGGACAAGATGCACGAATATTAGAAAGTTGACAGAATAATAGAAGTATATTATTTAAATATTAGAAAAAAGGTGATATTATTTTAACTGTTTCTGTTTTTTCAATCTGTCATACATATAATGTATAATTTATTGTAACATTAATATCACTGTAGTTCTTTCAAAATACTGCGCAGCCCTACTTCAGCWTTGTTGACACTAAATTAGTTGACCTTTTCTGCAAATATGTGACCCATGCTGGCAAAATGAGTCAGAATGAGCGCAGGCTTCAGTGCAAAAAAAAAACAAAAGTGAAAATCTTAATATTTTCTCCATGATCATAACCCCATTTGCGTGTATTTATTTAGTTTTTTTTTTTGTTTGTTTGTTTGTTTGTTTTTTCTTCAGGGTTTCACTGGGTGTGGGATGAGTGCTGCAAGTCGTCCGGAGCGTTCCTCAGCTGTGACGACAGGAAGGTGAGCTTTCACTCAGACTACAGCTGCGGCACGGCTGCCATCCGCGGCACCAAGGAGCTGTCAGACGGTCAGCACTACTGGGAGGTGAAGATGACCTCTCCGGTCTATGGAACAGATATGGTGAGTGTCCGTTTCTAAAAGAATCTAAGCTCTGCATCTTAAAGTGTTCACACTGTTGATCTTGTCTGTTCTTATGGGGGGGTCGGTTGTGTGCAGATGGTGGGGATCGGAACCTCTGAGGTGAACCTGGAGATGTTCAAATACAGCTTTGGCAGCCTGCTGGGTTACGATGAAGACAGCTGGGGTCTTTCCTACACGGGTAAGAAATGATGTGTGACAGGTAACGAATTGATATTCTTTCATTTTTATTTATTTATTTATTTACCCTTTTATAGTAATCAGGTCAAGCAAGTAATCTGTTTTTGTGTGTTTAAAGGTCTGCTCCAACACAAAGGGGACAAAGTGAAATTCTCTTCTCGGTTCAGTCAGGGCTCGATCATCGGAGTGCATCTGGACACGTGGCACGGCACCCTGACTTTCTACAAGAACCGCCACTGCATAGGTGGGTTTTTGACACCTTTGTGTCTYTGTCCATTAAAAGGTTACAGCAATACAGATTTGCTAAAAAAAAAGTGCCAACTTTACTTTTATTGACATGATAACAGTGATTAATGGGACTTGCCTGGTAAAATAATGGTAAATTAATTAATTAAACAAGTTTTTATAAAGCTAAGCTAAAGTGTACAAAAACAAACAACAGACAACAGCCTGTTATAAGCAACAATTAAGCCAAAACATCTAGGATTTAGGAGAAATAGATGAGCTGCTGTTGACTAAATGTTTTAACTGGTCATCATGAGGAGTTTGCCGCTCTGGTGCACACAGGTGTGTGTGTGTGTGTGTGTGTGTGTGTGTGTGTGTGTGTGTGTGTGTGTGTGTGTGTGTGTGTGTG